AGCAGGGATCTCTTCCAAAGCACAGAAACTAAAGCAATTGTACGAACTTTATAAACTATGTTTTTTTAAAGGTGTAGATTATTGTTCGACGAAAATCGCACGCGTCATTTTGATGTGATAAAAAGTTTTGATAAAAATATTATTCTCTGGATCTAATTTAAAATTACGCGTAAAAGCGAAGTAATTCAAATCAACGGGATTCAATTCGGAATTTGATTCTAACGACGAGCCTTAATGGTGTTGGCATTTGTAGAACTTCGTACGCTTTATCCGTTTTATCGCTAACGATAATTAGATTCTTCGATCGAATTGTCTAACGCATAATTTGTTATCAAAGGAAAATCTAGGGCAAAGATAGATTCTACAAAATTAAGAAGCTTTTCAATCATCTTAATAGGACCGTCGATATATTATTACTTACTTATAATCTTTCATTGAATGTAAGAACGTCTCTATAAAATCCGTTGAAATGTAATATTTCGATTATGAATTTGAAAACAGAAATGGTAGGTAAGTAAGAGGAGAAAATAAGAAATAATATCCGACGCAACATCACGTCGTCGTCGTGCTTTTAACTGGATCTTACGACTTAACCTGACTTAACTAACTCGATTTACCGAATTTGCGGGATATTCAAATATCGATATCATCGCATCTGCTCCGCAGGTAGTCGCGCCAGTCGTAGCGATATAACATCGCAAATTCAATTTCCACGAATACTCAGTTGCCTCCGTGGAATCAAAATGAGAAGAGGACGGAAGCACTTCGAGATGGGAGTTTCAAAGTCGAACTATGGTTCCTCGTCTAAAGGCGACATCGATTTTCCGTACCGAGTGCTTCCAAAGTACGTAAACGACGATGAATCGTGTAGCGTTTCCGAGATGCGAACTCTAACTTCTTATGGGAAATTGAAAAAGGATGAATTAACGCATCGCTGGTTGCTTGCTGAAATGCGGTTTCTTGGGCGTACGATGAATTATACGGGAATGATAACTGCACAAAATGTCTTTACAAGTATATACCAATAAATACGAATTCTACAGAGATTGTAATAAATGCAATGAATTTACTGCAATTCGAAAATAAATAAATTCATTTAGAAAATACGAAGAGGTCATATTTCTCTAGAATTATTCACTCTAGCTAGTTACTATATACAAAGTAATAATATATTTTGTACAGACCTGTCTTCGAGACGAAAGAAAGAAAGGAAAGCTTCGTGGGATGGGTTCGCTTTCACGATGACTTTTGCTCAATTAAAAATACTATAATGTAAAATCCGAAGGAAGAACATCTAAAGAACTGGTTCGATGCAGGAAAAATATGTCAACAACATTTACGACGTCGGAACACGTTCGCACGACGAAAGCCTAGCAAGCACTGTTGGTATACCACAGTAAACATTCAAGTATCGAGAATCGTGCATTCATGCAATAAACACTGACTGTTGGTTCTTAATACATACAGCTGTTATATGTCACGAATTAATATTCTTGATAAGGCAGATAAAAAATGAACATTTTTGAAACATCTTTCCTACGAAAACACGAGTTAAATGATTTAAACGATACACGACATTTTCGAATAGATAAATATATAGACAAATTTCAAATTTTTTTTTCTATCACCTAACCGGCAGTTCCAAATAAAAATGTTTTATTTTTATTCACACCCTATTCTTCGAATAACATCCCATGAAAATACCATGGTCAACCATATTTTCAATTTCGATAGGACAAACGGTATCAGGATCCAAGAGATACTACGACTATATCCGATATTTCTAACAAGCTGAAAGCTCGAGTGGAAGCTCGAGTGGAAGCTCGTTTCATACATCCAAAGGTTTAGCTTCGATAATAAACGTTTACATGTTAGCGAATTTGAAATATGAACGAATCGTCATTTAGTTCGGTTCGTTTGTTACCTAAATGCTCTTGATATTGGACTTTCATTAGATGGACGATCCGCTTTCTCGTCTTTTCGATTGCTATTTGTTACTTTTCACTGATTGCGAGTATCCTTAAATTTTCAAAGCGATTCATTGTTCCTTTCTCCTTTTCGAAAAAGCAACGGATCGTTCATTTCACTTTGATAAATCATAGTACGATGGTTGGAAGCGTATTAATCTCACGAGTTATACACATACAAACACATATAATATATAGATTCAGCTGCTATCTCATGCTCTCTCTTTTCCCTCCTACCCGTTCTCGTGATAAACGCGAATGATCTAAAAACGTCCTCCTCACAAATCTTTACAAAGATAAGGAAAGAAATCGGAGTAAAATTCTCCGAGCGAATAATTCCATAATTTTCGTTACCATCTCGATCCTTTTGCAAACGATCGTTGACTTTCGGTGCAACAGGAAAGGCATCCGTGGCAGACGAGAATGAATTAGTAATCTCGTGCTAATCGTCGTGCTTACCAACAAGAGAGAAAGATAGATAGATAGATACATGGAGAAAGGGAGAGAAAGAGAGAGAGAGAGAATCGCTTTCGATTAACGTTGAAGGTACGAAGGAGAGGCTGGCGTTGCGAAGCAGTCATCTATAAGAGAGACGAGTGTAAGCGTTGTAAGCTACGTGACGAGCATACGAGAATTTGCTTCTAGAATTCCAGAGGTAACTCGATCTGTTATACAAATTCATCCAAAAGATATACCATTATTATAATATTTACCGATGACCGTAATTAAATGCGTAAATAAACCAAAAATTAATTTAATTTAAAAAATTGACAATTAAATAAAATAATAACAGTAATAATAATAATAATGATAAATAGATTTCTTTCAAGAAGAAATCAAGTATTTATCCGAAGACATCGTCGAAATATATCGATAATCGCTCTTTGCCCATAGTATTTGGAGAATGGATAAGTTTGCATTAGGGCTGAAGATTAAATGGACCGGCGCGGCGTTCCGTGTTTGGTGCCTCGATCGTTCGTTCAATTCGCGCCGGTACTCTCATGCGTTGTTGCATAATCCACACCAGAGTTATGTAGATCTGGGGCTTATCGCTCCAGGATTTCCATTCTGTCTCATTATTAATTTCCATGCGTTAAGCAGCTGGAACGGGCTTTAGTTCCGAACCGGCACATCGTTCTACAAGCCGTTTCGAAATTCTTCTCGCATTTCTACCAAATATGCGACATTCATTTTTCAAAATTACTTTTATACAAGCTACAATCGATAAGTATTTAATCTTAATTAATGCTTTTTTTGAAAACAAAAATAAAAAACAATCTAATCCAATAATTGCAATTCCAAATGAAATATTTGTATTATCTGATGTTTTGTAAAAAAAAAAAAAAAACGAGAACGTCTCAATTATTTTGATTATTTTTTTGATTTAATGCCATAGAGATTTTTGACTACTACGGATTGGATAAGTTTTAATTCAATGAACAACGAGAAAGAAAGAGAGATAGTGGGACGTCGTTATTGTAAAAGTTGAAGAACACTTTTGAACCAGCGCAGCGTTGAATATTATACGAATTCGTGTTTCGTGATAACTCGTTAAAAAAAGCTAGTACGTTTGACCCTACGATATCACAACAACTGCTTTTTTAACTTACGCACGATTTCGATTTTTCCATCAAAGATTTGCGGTAGTAGATTTGCGCTATGTTGTAATATAATGCATGAATATTATGCTATAATACACAGAAAGTGCAAACATGCAAAATTATGCAAAGCAATATTAGTTCTTTTCTATTCTCCATGTTACGTAGTACATGCACGTAAAAACGCAAAGTAGTCTAAAGTAAATCAGAAGATAAATGAGATAAAAAAATATATAATAGGTAGAATAGGAACACATCTCAACACACCTGGTCAGAAGCTGAGAAGAACGATGACTGAAAAGGGAAAGGGTTGTGAAAAGTTAAATTCATCGAAACAACAGCTTCTCGATCATTAAATGTTTTTTTTATGCATGTTACCCCTAGGGCGGTTCAAACATTCGATTATTACTATTTTTATTCTTTTAAACATTTCTTTGTCGAACTTGTAAACACATTGATCTTCGTAACAGTTTTTTTTTGTATTTACTATCAGTCTCCTTTGAGCATCGGAAGATGTAATAACGATATTAGATGAGTATTGCATTTATTTCGCGATCGCGTGCGTGTGTTGCTATGCAAATAAACGCATATGTGTGCGAGTGTGTGTACTGCTGGTGAGTAATATATATATGTACACACGTGTATATGCTGGTTTAACGATGACATAGATGTACATATTTGTACTCTTTAACACAACTGTATTTATTTTATGATAGTTCTTCATCAAATCTATGGTTAGAAAAAAAGACACATTTCAAAGGCTCCAATTCGTTTAAAGACAAACTGCAACGTCGGTGACAAATGATATAAAAAAATATAAGAAAATGAAAAGAAAAAGGCACGATAGCGATGACATCCTGTGAAAAAGTATGAAGGACAATGCGAGGAGGAGTCGTCGTTGAAAGGCTGCGAACAAAGCTACTCTCATACGAGACAGAGAAAGAGTGAGAGAGAAATAAAACTAGAGGGGGATATTTCGACGATAAGAAATCTGTATGCCCTCTGGGAGTGTAATTGTATGTTAATAATTATCATTGTGAAAAGACAAAAATATAGACCTGCTAATTTTTTCCAAAGTAAGGAGTGCAAGCGACACAAATAAATAGGCATAGGTAGAAAGAGAGAAAGAGAAAAATAGAAGTCCATTGTAATCCGCATGGTAGTCAGCGACGTTCACTTCGAACGGACGCTGGAAAGGATGGGAGAGAGAAAGAAGAGTAGAGGTGACGAAGAGCAGATAGCGAAGGAAAGGAAGTTAGGAGTGGGGGTGGTATGTTGGAAGGGGAAGAAGAAGAAGGTTCGAGGTAGTAGACCTACATATTCCGAGCGTGGCCAATGAGACGGCGCAATGTGGCGGACGAAACTGTGGACGGAGTGGGGTAAGAGGGGTGAAGGGGGTTGAGGAGGGGACCGAGGGCAACTCGGTGGCGCGCGACGCAACGCGAATCCAGTTGCTCGCGAGCATCCGTCAGTGTTCGAACATGGCCTCTCGTCGTTTGTCCGAAAGCACAAGTGCTGTTTTCTCCCCGCGCTTTGCGCTCATAGCGCTCGCGATAATTTTCATATTCGACGAATCTGCCGCTAAAACCGATCATGGTCTCAAAGTCGATACCGTTTATAAACCGGAAATCTGCGAGGTCCGCTCGAAAAAAGGCGACCAGCTGACCATGCACTATACTGGCACGCTTCAAGACGGTACCAAATTCGATTCAAGGTCAGTGGATAAGTCTTTTGCTTGACGAAGAAAAAAGGAAAGAAAGAAATAAAGAGCAAAAGAAAGATCGTACACTTTCGTGCGCGCGCATATCTTTTTTAGCATTCGCCTTTTTTTGAACTTTACTCCGAGATTAGATTCTACTCTCTTCGGGAGATTAATAACTTTACATTTTTAAATTAAAAATGAAATGAATTTTTCGGAATATATAAGGTTTTTTTTTCTTTCGATCACGCAATGATAATAATGGTGTATTTTTTAGACTCTTGCAATTATTGCTATTGGAGAGATTAACAATGAGAATCTTGGTGTGACGTCGTCTAACATTCGATTTATCGAACGTGAACATTCTATCCCGACGCAATTTTCCCGCGTTTATCAAAATGAGTGGTGCGTTCCTTCAAATTAGGTGATTCTCTCGTCCTTTTCGAATACTCGATCGATCATCTCACGGTTAATAACTCGCATTACATTTTTTTTTGTTCTTGAAAAAGAAAGCATACCCAATTGTAATGTCCGTTCTCTCCGTTTGGCATAATCTTTTTTATTAAAAATAAGTGCAACTCGTGCATTAGGATATATCGAATCAATTTTCAAGCATTTCGATCTATACATTAACGAATCTAGCAATTTGAAAAAAGAAATTATTGACGTAAGATCATATTCTTAGAAATAAGGTCATATAATTCTTCATTGTTATTAAATTTCCCCCTTTCTCTTTCTAGCTTGTCTCAATTTAAATTCCTTTCTTTTTTTACTTATCGTCGAACAATGGGAAAATGTATCCTAATATATATAATTTTGCATTTCGTTCAATGGGAATTTCGTACTTCCTCTCCCTCTCTCTCTATCTCTCCCCTTTTTTCTCTCGTTCTCTCGTACGCTTATTATAACGCGTTTGCTTCGGCGTTACGTACGACGATAGGAATATTCGATTATTTCAGCGATAAATTTGTAATTACCGCGGGTTTCATTTTCCAATGAACGTGGCCCAATCAATCTAGCTGGTCGCTAAGTTTCACACTGGATACTGCTTCGTCTATTGAATTCGGAATAATCAGAACTTCTCTGTTTGCGCTGTGATGAGTTTGCCTAGTGATACACGTCGACCGAGAACCCAAGAGTGCTGCTTTTCTAGATTGAAAAGTTTGCCAACGATAATTGAGAATTTCTTGTCCCACCTCTACATTCCTCTACCTTCTCTCTTCCTTTTCCTCTTTTAATACTTTTACCTATTTTCTCCCTCTCTCTCTCTCTACTCTTTACGCACGATGAGAATCTGAAAAAAGTATAAGAACTTTGTGAGCGGTTCGTTCGACTCCGAATCGATTCGAAAACGAGTCTCGACGGTTTAAATTCTTTTGTAGGCCGTTACGAGTACCGTTAAGCGGACACTGTCATGGTATAGTCGTTAGCTCGCATGATACTAAACTTGAAAAACGTTTCTCTGTAATCTCGAATAAAACTGTATACGACGACTTCTCACCTTGCCTTTCTAAACTTTATTTTTACCTAATCAGTTGTTTCTCTCGTCCAAAAGTAAAATTCTTAATAAGAACGTATCATAGGGAATTTGGACATCAAAAAAAGAAGTAGAACTTAATTTTACTAAGTTGGACGTTTCGTCCCTTTATTGGGACTTCTTCAGCAACTGGAAATTTTATTTTATTATTATTTTTATATTACGAAATATACATGAGACTCATACATTATAAAATATTACATGTTACCTTAATCTTTACAGTTCAGCGTCTTTTTTCTTTAAACAGACATACATTTTTAATTTTATTTTTAATATTCGAAATACAAAACATCTACACTTCGTTAAGTATTAATCCGTTATAATTTGAACACTCAAATAAACTGTTTCAATCTTGACTAGTGTTTATTAGTCTAGATATCTTCACTGTTAAGGTGTCCTCTATTACGGTGTTCTGTTTATTATAGTTAAATTTAAAAATTCCGTTATAGATGTTGTTTAAATTATTTGAATCTGTATTTTTACCTTCTTACGATTTTGTTCACATGATATCATTGATACGATTAGACAAAGACGTTTATCGTTCAGGTATATTCTTTATTCCTTTTTTACATTTTTTTTTCTTTTTAGTTTTCCTATAAGACACTAGTATTAGTGTTATATATTTTATCATTGCTTTACATCGATTGATATTCAATTGATAATAATATATTAAAGTTTGTTATAATGCATTCACATTTATATAATATAAATAAATACTTTTACAGTGAGTCATAGAAATATTTGTACCCGCCCTCGCTGTTAAATTTAAGTAATTGATTTTTATTTGTAATGCTAACTTTTAAAATTTTTTTACACAGAAATCTATTTTTAGATTAATTAACTTTCAAAAATTCACATATATAAATGTTATTGCAAGGAAATATTTTCTTTTTAGAGAAATTAATTTGACATAAATGATAAGGGAAAATTGTACTCGCAAGAGTATAAGTACCCACGCAAGATATAATCAAAATACAATTATTATTCCATTAGCCGAGACTCCATTTAACTGATGTGAGACACCCTGTATATCTACTGTTATAATTTTAACAGTACCTCGCGATAATTTCTGTTTATATAAAAATAAAATGATGAATAAATGCACGCTAGAAAGATGCAATAATTCTTATTTCAAGATGTAATCTTATTTAACGGTTAATGAGAGCTGGCGATCTGTAAAAACTTTCAAATGACACGGCTTTGTTTGATTGCACGAAGTATCAAATATTTACTTGCTTTCCGATAACAAAACTGGACGAGAATCTTGCGTGTACCGTCGCAAACATTGTTATCTTAATTTTTAATATAATATTAGAGAAGAAGAATAAAAATAATAAATTGAAAGTTTGTTATTATAAGAAAAATCAAGAGAATCTTTCTATCTTGCATTTATATCATGTGAAAGAGAAAAGAGAGAGGTAAGATACTTTTACTCTAAAGATAGTTTTCATAACAAGAAGAGCTCGTTCATTCCCTTAGATTAGCGGTTGCATCGCAAAAGGGCTAGCAAGAGGTCACTACCAGTGGCGAGTTGACTGCTTCTCAAGAGGGTGATAACGAGAAGCTCGAGTACGATAACGTTATCGAGTTTAGCGGGTAGTCTCTTTAGCGTGGATGGAAGTGTTTTCCTCTTTCTCTCTTCGTCGACACACAAAAGCATGTTATTATTCTTACTCGCCGTGTTTATCAATTTTTGAGCCCTATTTCTTCTTTATCCGTCTCTTACTCTTCCTCTTTCGCTTCCTTTTATTTCTTTTTTTTTTTTATCTTTTCTACTTCCTGTAATCTCGCCCGAGTCAAACGCGTCTATGAAACTAACGCGTTCGTCATCGTAATTACTGCGCGCGCGTGTGTGTGGTCGCTAAACGATCGCTGCGGTTTAACTGGTTGAAACGAGAATTCGCAACGTTACGACAGATCGATTAGAATTATAGTAGACAGTTTTGCTGACAACACTATGATTTAGGAGAACAAGTGTCTCTAACTAATAGATCTAAAAAGGCGAACATCCTCGAAAATTGAAATTCAATGAAGCGAAGCGGAAATGTCACCTACTTTCTCTTTTTTACTTTCACTTATTTAACATTTTGCGGAAGACCGACCCGCGTTCTTATACATCACCGTAGTTGAATTAGAGATTAGGCATAGTTAGAGATTACAGCCTTCTCCTATTAGTCCGACGTCGATATCAGTTAATTCGCTAGCTCGACGAAGCTCGCCATTGTCTTCCTCGTGCGTTCACTTGACACGTCGATCGATTAATTGAAATCCGAATAGAGCGTCGGCAACGCAAACGTCGATCGTCGTATTGAGCGATCATCGGACGCATTCAATTTTGTCCTGTTATCGCTGACAAGGATAACGACCCTTCCTATTAATACAGATTTAATCCACCAAGACGATATTGTCTTATATCACTTTAAATCACATCAACAAACATATGCAAATAATAATAAATTCGTCGATTCATTGTCGTAGCTAATCGAATAGATTATTCGGATAATTTTCATATTTTTTGGTCATCTGCCTTTAAGCCATAAACGTTGTACGATAAAGGGAATAAAACTGTTCGCGTTGATAGAAACAAGCAGCGTAAAGAAGAAAGAAAGAAAGAGATAGATAGATAACCGTGAAATAGCACTAAATTGATTTCGAAGCACGATGTTTTAAACTCGCAAACGGAAATTATCGAACGAAGCCGCGGGCAAGGCTCTTCCCCGTTATTAACTGCGTCGGAAAACGCGGCCACCCCTTCTCGATAGTAAGTGTAAACTGCGAAGCTCATCCCATAAACACGGAGCAGCAGCAGCAGCATAGCTCGCCTGTAACCAACCCGCCGTCTCTACCAACGTCCGGCAATACTCGTTCAGTATTTTACCCCAAAACCACCAGACTCTAGCCATTTCTACGCTACCCCTATACCCTTTTTCTTTCCTTATTTTTTATTCTTTTCTACTCTCTCTCTCTCCGCTATCCTGGAAAAAGGAGCTCTCGCGCGAGTGAATCCGTTCGCGAGTAGAGATGATTCTCCTCCGAGTTCCTCCCTTCGGTTTATTTACCGTTTTCCCTTCGAAAGTTCTACGTCTTAGGCAACGATCCGAAGACGAACCGAACGGTGCTCCTTTCTTTAACAATTCTTTATCTTTATTCTTCTCTTGCCTTTTGCAATCAAATTATTTTCACTATGTTCGTAACAATAATACAAACTTTTACGTTTGAAATATTAACGCTAACTAACAATGTGTACGTAAATATTACAATGTTAAAATAATGAATATGAAGAATTAAAAAGATGCAATGAACGAGCAAACATATGTACATAAGTCGAGTAAATATAAATAAACATTATGTTGGAACTTGAAAAGTCCAGCATCAAAGATGTTAAGAAGACGACGTTGATCTCGATGGAAAGCCAGTGTATTTTTAATTAAGAAACAAGGCCTATCATGCACATATATACACAGAATGCCAACGGCTT